TTGAACACCTGTCTATTCATTGCCCAGTTTCAGCTTATCTCTGGGGGCATTTCCTTAAAGCCTCGGAAGTCAGTTGGGTAATGCCAAATTCAGTGAAGGAACTGTTGTACTGTTGGAAAATTGAGGGCCTCAGCAAGAAAGGAAACTTGGTTTGGAACACTATTCCGGCAGCTGTTCTTTGGACTATTTGGACTGAAAGAAACAACAGAATTTTCCAAGGTAAATCTAAAACTCCGAAGGAAATGGTGCAGAAAGCTGTGGGCAAGTTATTGTCTTGGGTGTCGGCGACGGAGGATTTTAAAAATCAGAATATGCGGTTGTTGTTTAGTTCTCAGTCTTGGATGAGATTGTAATCTGAGGTGGTCCTAGGTAGCCTCTAAAGGCCTAGGCTCTATTGTATTGTTCTTTGATTAAATAAAGTACCTTACCTTTTACAAAAACTTACATAAGCTATAAATAACAGAAAATAACTACCAACTAATCCAGCTAACATACTAACAGCAATATAAATAGGCATGCAGCAGTGGGGACCACATTATTGTTCTACATCTCTACAAATACTACTATAATAAGTATTTAATAGAGCAATTAGCAACTAAAGAAGGTTATTAACTTTATAAAATAAAACTTCAAGATGGAAAGTAAAATAGAAAAAAAAAACATGGAGTTGCTATTTTATTTAAATGATGAGAGGGAGAGAGAATAGAAAGAGGGTGGGCCTTGGCACAATGGTTGGATTGCTCCATTCTGACCTAGGTGACCAAGCAAATCTTGGAAACAGTCTCTAGGTATGTTCAGGGTTAAGGCTGCGTACATCTGTCCCTCCCCAGACCCTGCATTGTCAGGAGCCTTGTGCACTGGGCTGCCTTTTAGAGAGTAGAAAAAAAGAAACCTCTCTATACTTCTATTCATTCATTCTTTCTTGTTCTCTCCTCAAAACCCTTAGATCTTTTAAATTTCAATAATAAAACATTAAAACAAAGTATAAATGATATAAATAGTGTATAATAAAATGTATTAAAACACATATTAATGAGATGCAGCAATATAAATGATATTATAATAAGGCGCCTGCCTTGTCATTTTTGTCACTTAGGTGGGTGCCTAGTTGCTATAACTCAAGGTGTTTGGGCGAGGTGCCCAGCCAAGGGCACCTAGTCACCTAGGCAACGCCTTGATTACTATGAATCACAAATATTTAGGGCAATAATTTAATAACAAACTACAACAATATTCGGTTCATTTTAAATAATTAGAGATACAAACAGACAAACAAACAAAACTTAAAAAATGAATTTGTAGTTCACTAGGATGACTGGTTGTTAATCAACTAGTCAACCTTAATTGATACTTCGTCATTCTAGGTGATTGCGTCGTGATTATCAACTGATTAGTTGGTCTGGTCAAGTGACTAATTGGTCAACTTGATAAGGTATGTCTCCTGATACAACTCATCTCCCCAAACCTCCCTAGGCATCTCATTAGGAAAGGGGTTGGTTGCTCTCGATCTATTTGAACAATTTGTTTACCCTGGATGTCATGGCATTTCCCTCTCTTTCCCTCTCTAATATGGTGGTCAATAATTCAAGGCCCTTAATTACTGCTTCGGAATCAGCTAATAACAGTTTGAGTCATTCTCCACCTCCAGATGCTCTAATCCAATAAAAGCCATCGGCCTGAGACCCTGAAGCAAGACCTTCGCCTCAATAGAAACCAAGTCCAGACTCAGTAGGGCCAAAATAAACCAATACAGTCTTCTCCAATGCATAACCAATTTACCACTCTACTGGTGATGAAATTATTCAAAAAATTGTGAGGCTGCTCCATCTTTGAGAAGGCTCTGGCATTCCTCTCCTCCTAAGTCCCAAGTGGTCTAAAGACTGGCCTTTCTAACAAAAATTCCATATAATTTTCCTTCTTATATAAGGGGAGAGGATTCTGACCCAAAAAGGGCTAGGGATATAATTTCTGGTTTCCAATGAGCACTGAGTAGGGCAAGTAATATTGTATTTCAAGGATGTCTATAATTATATTTTGCAAGAGTGTGTGGATGTGGCTGTAGATCTAGAACAGAAACCCTTTATATCGATACCATTAGTTCTAAACCTACTACACATTAGCAACCAATTTAGAATGTTATAATAATTCACTCAGATTCTAGGAAGAACCTACACTCTCTAATTATGGTAATGCTGGGATTTGCTTTGGCTGAACAGTAGCATGTTTGTAAAAGGTTGCTTTTGTTCACTGCATTTTCAAATGTTAGGTTTTTTTTCTTTGCTAAATATCAAATCGTGTTTGCTTTCCAAATTTGACCCAGTTTCTGCTTTATCTCTTTGAAGAAATACTAAAGCAATCCTATTCCTCTGTTTTGATTTTGATCACTGGTTCACAAAACCTTCTGATAGAATGCTGTCTTTTGTTGTTTCTATATCCCAATTTTATGGGGCATTTATGTACATGGATGTTGCTATGCTCAATAAATATAAGTATGATATTTCTCAAAAACGAAAAAGAGAAGAAAAATCAATAAAACAATTTTTGTTATCAAATGTATGGCCCAAATTCACTGAAAAAAAAATTATCAGAAAAAAGTTCATTGGAGGGTTAGTTGGAGCATGCTTGACTATCTGGGCACTTTATGACCAGGGTTTGATCATGCCCATTTCCATGTCTTAGATTCTTAGTTATGGGTGTGGCTCTCTCCTAAGCAGTCATTTTCCTATTATCTTTTCCTCCAATGAACTTTTTTTGATAGGCACTTCCAATAAACATTTTGTTATCAATTAAAAAAATTATCTTCATAGATTAGGCTGTAATTGTTTGTGATGATACTGGTTATACTGTTAATTTCACCATGACTAGTTTTACTATTGGAGGAATGGATGCTGCTCAGACACATAAATGGGTAAATGACTTAAATTGTTGTTGTGATGTGTGTGAAGGGATGTAATCTTTGCATATGCATGTGTGTATCAATTCAATGATAAATCATTACATGCTGCCTCTGACATTTCAAAATTATTATCTATCACTTGGACTGTTTCACTGTATTAAGCTTTATCCTAATATATTGTAGAGAGGCACTATAATTGATCGTTTATGTAATTCAAAAATGACAGAAAAGTGGGATAACCAACCATAAAATAAATGAAGAAAAGGGTGTCATATTAATTTACTATTTTGTTAATTGCTTTTGGTTAAAACAGCAAGTGCCTTTCTGTCTCCAACATCTTTTCCATGCATGAGTCAATAGTTTTCAAGTCACTAGTCACTAGTTTGAAGCCTAAGATTCCAAAGGAACCTTCTGTAGATTCTCTAAGATAAAACTTGGCATTACTTGATTGTGAACTCTTGGCCATTTGGCATCCGCATCATGGGATCTAATTCTGCTGCGGTTGCCATTAAGATTTCCAATGAGACAGAAGATAGAGAAAAGAAAAGGAAAGCATTGTGTTAGTGAACCAATTCTGCTGTGATTGACATAAAGGTTTCTAGTGAGAAAAAGGATAGTAAAACATTGATGATGAGCTTGTTTTCCTTATCAAGCAACATTTTGGGCTTAGATATAATTCATCAGGTCATAAAAGAGAGATCTGGAGCTTTTGTCTCTCTATTTTGATTGGGTTTGTATTCTGGTTTTTCTGGATGTAAGCCGTTTAAGTGTCTATCTCTTCTCTCGGGTGCTTTCTTATCACCTTTCCTTTTGTATTCTCTTTTTCTTTTAATAAATTTCATCTTTATTCTTCAAAAAAATGTGTAAGTAGGCTACTTAGCCAAAAAAAAAAGGAAAAGGAAAAGAAGTTTCCAGACTTTTTTTGGATGGTATATTCCTGGTTCTGGTTGGGAAGGCTTATCCTGATTCCTGATTCCTTTTAATTGTTGAAACTGGGAATTCTTTTTGGACTTTGATATGATTTATGTTTAGTTTCTTTTACTTAGTTCATTAATAACGAAAAAGGCCCCATATGATGTAATTGTGTGAATTCCAAATAGACTTTAAGTTCTGATAAATTTACTGCTATTACCTTCAAAACTTCAGACCCATGCAGAGCATTTAATATCTGAGACATCAGTACTCTGGGAGTGTTATTCTATTAGCATTTGTTGGCTAGCGAATAGGTCAAATTTGTCTGCTTTGTTTGGAGAACCACTACAACAATAGCGCAACAGGAGAAGTTTTCAAATTTTTATTAGAACTTATCATCAAAGGAAATTTGAATCAGGTGGAACTAGAGGTAACCAACCCATAACTTGAGAGATAATTGGAGCTGGCCAGTTGATCAATTAGTTAATATTGCAACAATTTCTTTTGAGGGTGACAAGCATGTACTTTGTACAAAAAATGCCAAAGGTTGGGTTTGTATCCAGTCCACCCCTTCCAAGACCCCTTATAGTTGGGACGACATTGGGTAGTGACTCCTTTTTGGTTGAGGTATATCCATATCCTTGTAAATGTACTTTTTTAAGTGAGTCCCCACTAGATCTCTGACCTCAAGAACCAATTTCATTAGATTGCTATAACGTTTGTCTCATTTAGACAGTTAGATGAAAAACTGTTCAGGGAAGGTATACAGATCAGTTGGTTGTAAAATTAGTGGTTTAGTTTTGTCTGATCTATATCCTGGATGGGATGCTAATATGCTAAAGATGGATATAGAGCTAGTGTATTGTGCATTTGCCACCTGTACAACATGACCAGGGAACGTCCTGAGCAAAAAGGGTGAGGGACCAGGAACCAGTATATATCCATGTGGATGTGGACGGGTTTTTTTTTTCATTTTTATCATATTTTTGTATCTTGATAATTCCACTAACTCAAACTTTTTGTTATTAATATACCAATAAAGGTTGCCCTTCTTGTTGGTATTATAAACATAGAACATTTGATAACTGTTTTCATTCTTGACCTAAAACAGATACTATTGCTTTATTTTTTTTAAATCTTGAGGAGTACAATTATAAACCATCTTAACATATTCATCTGTGCTTTTCTATAGATATGTGGGGACATCCATGGGCAATTTTATGACATGAAGGAGCTATTCAAAGTGGGTGGTGATTGTCCGAAGACAAACTACTTGTTTTTGGGGGATTTTGTCGATAGGGGATTTTATTCTGTTGAAACGTTTCTGCTTTTATTAGCCCTGAAGGTCAGGTTTCTTCCTTTTTCTCTACAAAATTGGATTTTAAAGAGATATCTCCCCTCTATCTGGGCTTTATTTTTATGTTCATTTGCTATAACTTTTGTTAAGGTTTTGAATTAAAAGGTTTATAATTTGTCATCTGCTAGTGGTCCTTTAGATACTTTTCACCATAAGTAGATCATTAGTGTTGCATATGTATGCATATATATATATATATATTTTTTTTATCAATAACACTTTCATTAATTCATCAGTAGAAAATTTACAAGTGGAAGACAAACACACTTATCTTCCAAGAGTCACAAAGAACTTCAAGAAATGAAAAAAGAAAATACAAAGATACAAAGACACTAACGTTACAGCTTAGCCCAAAACAAAGAATCCCTTTCTGCCCCTTGTTTTGCTAAACCGTCAGCTAGGGAATTAGCTGATCTTTTAATCCAACATGTCTTAACTTCCATTTCCCGCACCAGCCATTTGAATTTCCTCTTCTCATTATTATACTTCCATAARTCATTTTGATCTTTAGTCAGCCACCCTATCACCACCTCTGAATCCCCTTCAATTATAAGTTTCTTGATGTTCAATTCCTTAGGCACAACTATTTTGGCACAACTATTTTGCTTCTATTGATTTTTTAACCAAAACCTTGTGCTTTCATGCAGGTGAGATACCCAGATCGAATAACATTGATAAGAGGGAATCATGAGAGTCGCCAGATTACACAGGTTTCGATCTGAGCTCCTCTGATGGAGATCTTTGTTCTAACATCTCTTCTGCTTAGCAGACTCACTGGCTAATTCTCTGTTACCAGGTGTATGGATTTTATGATGAGTGCCTACGTAAATATGGCTCTGTGAACGTCTGGAGATATTGTACAGATATATTTGATTATTTAAGGTTTGTCCCCATTTCTTTACTTGTAGTATAGTTACCTGTGTGATAGAAGGTTAGAAGGTGCATTAAGTGCATGGGACATGGATTGCACCTGTAGAGGTAAACTCCAGGCCAAAAACCTCTCCTGATGTTCCTATCACATTCTTTTCAATGATCATAAAAAAAAAAGAAAATACATCTGTGTAGCCAAATCAACAGATGGTTTAAGTTGTATATTTACAATTATCAATTTTTGCCTCAGTTATGCTGCCTTAATATGTTCTTAGTTTTTGAATTTGTTAATTCACGGTTTTCTACAGTCTGTCAGCCCTCATTGAGAACAGGATTTTCAGCGTCCATGGTGGTCTCTCTCCTGCTATATCCACATTGGACCAGGTACTATGGGATATATGTCAGTATCTAATTACACTTTATGATAGTAAGATTTTTTTTTAGATACTCATTCATGATATACTAAGTAGACTCCTTTTACAGATTAGAACAATTGATCGGAAGCAAGAAGTACCCCATGATGGTGCCATGTGTGATCTTTTGTGGTCAGATCCTGAAGACATTGTAGATGGTTGGGGTTTGAGTCCCCGAGGTGCTGGTTACCTATTTGGTGGCAATGTTGTTACTTCTTTCAACCACTCGAATAATATTGATTTCATATGCCGTGCACATCAATTGGTAATGGAAGGATATAAATGGATGTTCAACAACCAGATTGTTACAGTCTGGTCAGCTCCTAACTACTGTTACAGGTAGTTACTGTCCAAGGCCTTCCCTAGTACTACCATTCCCTTGATTAGGTGGTTTAATCTCATTTTTGGATGTGTTTAGATGTGGTAACGTGGCTGCAATTCTTGAATTGGATGAGAACTTGAACAAGCAATTCCGGGTGTTTGAAGCAGCTCCACATGTTTGTACATATAACTGTTTTCCTTTTTCTTTTCATGCATATAACTTGATGTAAAAAATGGTGGCTGCATGATCCTCCATGTCTGCTGGTCTTATGCTCCCATGCTTCACATTTAGAAAAAAAAGGTTGACATTCAATCAGTAGGTTCTATCAAAACAGGCTATCTAACAATCACTTCAGTGGTAATCCTTGATCCACGAAATGGACCTACTGATTGAATGTTCATGATACTCGCATTTTTAAACTTGATTCTTAAAGAGACATGAAGCTTGATGCAGCTTTGCACTCTTCATTTCTGCTTATTTCAGGTTCGTTTTAGGGCACTGAATGATTTTGGATGCAATGCAGGAATCAAGAGGAGCTCCTTCCAAGAAACCTGCACCAGATTACTTTCTTTGAGATCTTGCTTAAAGGGGTTTCTCTTCCAATCATCTAGTGGACAAATAGATTTACAGTGATGACCGAAAGCTCCTCCCAGAGTCAATGGACTGGCACTGTAAAAGATCAGCTTCTCATATGGTCGACAAGATTGATACTTTTGGGTTCTTGATCGGTTTGGTATACTAGGTTAATTTTTTTCTTTTGTCATTATTTTCTGTAAGATTAGAAATATGTTTCATTACATGTCTGTGTCATTAATATGGATTCCTGGCCTCTCTCAGCTCAGAGCTAGGAATCAACAGTTTCATATGGAAATGGAAAAGGAAGTTCTGTTACCAACTTTGGGAGCAAATGCAAGGCAAGGATTGGGTTAGAAACATACTATTTGGCAATGAAAGAGCTTACATTAGTTTTGTTTACTCAATCATCACCTTATGCCCCCCACTCTTTCCCCGGGGCATTCTTTCAGAAATATCACCTCTGGGTTGGCCTTTACAGATACGTCAGCAACCCGCAGTCTATTTATTTTTGGAATGATCTGCAATGTCTTGATTTAAATTTGATTAAAAGGATAAGAATCCACCTGCCTTGGGCGCTAGTTAGTGGGTAATTATGTTTACCAATGTTTCGAGAACTAGATTGGACTGCCCAGTTTAACTTTAACCATTCAAAGTTCAAACAATGAACCAGGTACAACAGCCTTCCATTTGCCTCGGAACTGCCGGTTTTGGTGAAGTAAACCAATCACGTTAAAAGACAATTACATGATTCATTTACTTTTTGTTAGTTTGCATTTTATATGATGTATTTTTGCATTTCACAAGGTTTACTTATTTTTTATGACTTTAACAACTTAAAGATTCAACTATGACTTGCTCTATCATTTGATTCAAGTTTCTCGTTCCACAGTGCAGTTCATGCACCATAGATTTCAACCTTTGGTCAAATTGTTTTCAACTAGCCTATTCAGTTTCTCATTTTTCCCTTTATTTAAAGATTTAAAGGATGATAAAGAATACCGAGAAATCTTATATTTTTTGCTCTTTGTAATTCTTCATTCAACTGCGGTTGAAACGGTGAACTGTGAATCTCTGTCAAGTTTGAATTTGATAACTAGCAGAAAAATCTGACAAAGGCCCACCTGTTTGTTTGGTATTCACTATTTTGGGTCATAGATGATGACTTTGCTTTTTTGGTTGTCCTACTTTGTTCTACTGATATATTTTCCACCTTTATTACCGATATAGATGGAAATAGAAATAGATAGACTACAAAAGAAAGAAAGGAGTAACCCATTTGGTACTGAACTCCATCTTATTTAACTCCTAAACTGATCAATTAGGAAAGCTACTTAGGTGACCCATATGTTCTGTACTTCTGTTAATGATTTTCTAATGCCAATCCTATGGCAAAAGTCCTACAGGCACAACAAGTAACCAGGGGGGGGGGGCTTTTGCCACGTGTCTTTTGTGGAGTGGTAGAAAGTCCTACAGGCTTCAACCTATGGATGCAGTTTTCTGACCCAGCATTTGAATGAATATTTTTTTATTTGATGCATAAAAGTTAAAAGAAAAACAAACAGGAAGTACATTTGAATGAATATATTCGACACCGTGCGAATTGAGAGGAGACCATTAATTGAATCTTGACCCATGTAAGAAAAAGCTTAATTTGGCCCGGTAGAAGAGAGAATTTCATGGTGAAAATTGGAAATCAAAGAGTAGAGGTATTGCCATTTCAACCACGTGGAAATGGAAAGTTGATATGAACTGTTCAGAGTCCAGAGCGTGGATCAGATAAAGACACGAAGTACATTCTTGTGGGGTCTAGTTAGAGACCTAAGAGGTATGGACGACAGTCGGCAGTGTTCCTCCACCTTTAACCTTTAGCTTACACTTTGATTGCTCTAGTGTACCCTATTCTGTTCAGCTACTCTATTGTGGAGTCCTTGTAACCAGATACAGATTCATCTGTACTAGACCCAATGTCGGCCACCATTCCAGCGGTAAGAAATGCCAAAATTGACGTAGAGCTCAGACTAACCCAAAAAGAAGAGAAAACGGTTGACAAGAAAGCACTGGTTAGAAAGTTATGTTGTGTTGTATATGCAACCGTCTAGTGAGGGTGTAATGTGTATTCTTCTGGCAAATCCCAATTCCATTTTACAAACGAAAATGGAGTAATGGACTATTTGGGCAGGCTGATCTAATCCATTGACAAAGTCTTTAACTCCTCACATATCTTGACGGTTCACAAATAGGCATAAACAACCTTCATATTATTATCTTATAAGCAATTGGTTTTCAGAATTACATTGCAGCAGATATGATCTGAAGAAATTAAAACCAATCTGTTTTAGTATTTTTACTTGGTTCATATTTGTCTTTCAACACAGAGAATCATAGAAAGAAACATGAAGAGCTGCTACTACTCATAATCATGAGATGAGAGCAAAAGGAGAGACCCAACAGAAAAGAAGAATATGCGTAGACTCGGTATCAAGCAAACTTCAATAGACCATCTGGTGCAAGCCATGTGCAAAAAGTAATATAAAAGCAATTAGCTCTGCAATTCTCAAGCCTAAGCCTATCCCCTTTCTCCACCCTTCACTTTTTGATCATCTTTGTGATTTAAATGGCCACAGTCCAGCTCTAAAGCTCTGCAAACCCTGCAAAACCTCTGACTTAGTTCTATCTAACATGTGGGGCTTTTCTTTTTCCTACTTAATCTATATTAATCAGTTATTGCTTTACTGAGCACTGTGGAGTGTGGGAATGTAGTAAACCAATTGTTTTCAACTTTTCTTTATTTACTCCTTTTTCATTTATAAATAATCAATACTTTATGATGGTTTTTGGCTATAATTATAGACGCCCCATTTGAGAATTCTGCTCCGCGGTTGCCGACGTGAAATGGGTCTCACTGGGGAGCTCGTCAGGAGTGTTTTCTCTAAGACTACTCGGTCTGTGAGTGAGCACGTTAGCAATGTGCGCCACAGCCACTTTTACTGTAGTTTGTTCGCTTTCGTGAGATTAGTCTGGTTTGGATTCTGATAGTCGAATTGTTTCTCTTGTTTGTTTTGTTCGTTCTCTCTCTTTCTCTTGTTTCCGTTTTCTGAGATTTAAGTGGTTAATTTTTCACGTTTTATTGTTTTCCAAATTCAGTTGGAGTGATCGTTTTTTTGGGATTTCTCTTTTTGTATTGCCGACTATGTCGCACTCTGGTTTCTCGAGAAGCTTACCGTCAGTTTTCTGGTTCTGAATTTGATCAAATCAGGGAAGGAGTAATGGGGTGGATAGGAGAAGATGGAGCTCTGTTAGATCCTATCTATGTGGGGACGAATTTAACTCGGTCCTCGCTGAGGAAGATTCAGCTTCTATCAAGAGTTCAGAGGCCACTGTAACACAACCTGTAGCAGAGGATTTGAAGGAAGAAGTAGAAACTCAGAGTGGAGTGAAGGAAGAACAGATACTCGATGAAAAGCAGAATTCATCTACTAAACTTTTGAGCGAAGAGGATGCAGCAATTTTCATCCAGTCGGCATTCCGACGCTTTCTGGTTGATTCATGCTCTGTCATAAATACCTTAAATACTTCTTCTCTGACTTCTCTTTTAAAATTTTGGTAGATTTAATTTCCGACCGAAAAGAAAGTGATATCTTTCAAAAATTAAAGTATAGAATTTTTACACAAAATCCCCACAAAAACATTGTGAGGTTGGAGGATTCCTACATTTAAAACTTAATGAGCATTGCAGTTTGAGTTCTCCAATTTTAACAGTGGGACACTCAAACAGTCAAACTCCATCTCTAGTTTTCTCAGTGGAGCTCAGAGGAAAAATTCAAGGATTCAATAGAAAGTTGTCGAAAAAAGAAAACCTTTGTTAAGGAGGTTTTTATTATTTTCATGCTTAAAGCATCTTCTTTCAAGTTTATAGGCTTAAAGCATTTTGATTTTCATATGGTTTTTCTTGAAATGCATGGAATTCAGGCTAGGCGTCGAGATAGAGGAACAAAGCAGATGGATGAGACAGAGGCTGTCCAAGGCACAAAAAGTCCAAGTAAGGAGTCTGTTGGTACATCAATTGAAGTTCAAACAGGAAACTCTGTTGAAGTTCTCTCAGTTCGGGAGGATAGAACTGCTGTTCAACACCAAGTGCAGCAGAAATCCCGGACTCAGATCTCCAAGGCGAAGGTAAATAGGCCATAACTTCAGCACTAGATTTCAGTCACCCTGAGAAACTCAGCACATGTCTAATTAGTAGAGATCAGAATATCCGACCAACAAGGTGTTATGACATGCAGTCTTGCAGGGATACCAAGGAACATAGATCTAGATATTGACAATTAATTTATTCAATCAAGAAGAAATGGTATTTCATTCCATGATATAGCCAGCTGCTTGCTTAGTGCAGTGGTTTCTCATGACAATGATCTTCCAATGTTGAATCCATGTTATTCTTTGACGGATTTCAGGAAGAAATCAAGGTGGTTGACCTTGTCTCATACCGGCTCAAGATATTCAAGGTTTTAACAGTTCTGTGTGGTGCCACTCAGGCTCTGACGTACTACCTCTTCTCTGATTTGGCTAAATTGCTCTTGTCAATAGAAATTAACAAACTGGATAACAAGGATTATAAGATAATTCATTCAAACATATATATAAAGCATTTACCCAAATCTTTGATTATTTGAGTTTATTCCACTCATAGCCCAACTTGAAACACAGGCGACTCAGATGAGATGCCAACTTGGGTGGATTAATTTAACCATTAGTTTTACAGCTATTCAACTCAAAACATATCTAGTAGCCCATGAGTTCTGCAGGAAGATTGGGATGACAGCACAGTGAGCAGCAACATATCAAAGCTGAGGATCCAAAACAGACAAGAAGCACATACCAGACGTGAAAGAGCTCTAGCTTATGCTTTCTCTCAACAGGTATAGATGTAATATTTGCCCAAAATGAGTACAGTTAAGGTGATCTGATATCCTGAAACAATTCAGTTCTTCCCTTATCTGTTGATAGCTACGGATTTGTTCAAAGAAAAAGACAGCCCGATCTGATACCGGAGAAACCAACATGGGTTGGAACTGGCTAGAGCGTTGGATGGCAACTCGCCAGACAGATGGTTCCTTCGTTGAAGATCGTATGAGCAGGCGCCTAGAACCCATTAACAATGATCAAAGATCAGTTCTTATTAAGAAAAATTTTGATATAGGAGAAGAGAAGGAAAGCTGTGGATCTAATGAAGTACCGGACGGAATTGATAGTCCTACTCTGTCTGCAGAAGACAGATACAAACTTGTTAAGAACAGGCTGAAGGCCACCAGAAGCGTGTCACGAAGGAAAACTGTTCCAAGCTACCAATACCCATCACACCTGACCAAGGTCGACCCTCTCTCATTCACTCATTGTTGTTCTTCTCTAGTATAATTAAATACTTTAGGGAGTTATAGTTTTGGTTCTCTTTTATTTAGCATTAACAAGGCATTTGGTTGCCACATAGAAATAGAACCATTTCATCTTAGTTTTCTCCTGGGAACCTGAGTGGTGAAGGTTCCATTCCATCTTCTAAAATGGACCCAATATCAGAAAATGAAAATTAGAGATGAGACCAGTTCTTGAAATACTAAAATTACTTTATTTTCATTTTTGTTAACATCCCAGTAATAAAACTACTCTCATTTAAACAAAAAATATAGTGTTCATATATTAAAATCCTAAGATGATTTCATTATTTTCTCCGATAAGCATCAAGGATCATTCATCATGTTCCCAGAAACCCCATAATTGTAGAATTTGATTATTTCCTTAGGAAAACTTAAAACAGAGTTGATGATAAACCTCATGACTAGGGAATTATTATGACCCAACTGAAATGGACTTGTATAATCCTACTGACAATGGCATTTTTTTGAGCCTTGCTTGTCCAAGTTTCTTTATAGGGCTAAGGTTAAAACCATTTATGTTGATGCACAAGTTGGCTTGTTCAGTTTCCAATCTTTGGTTGTCTGATTTACCACATGTATACTCTTTCCACCTTGCTACAGGTGAGCAAGAAAGAAAGTTCTAGGGAAGCTGAGAAAGATAAGAAACAGAAGCAGACACAGCCACGAAGTGTGGGAGAAATGAAGCACAAAGAAACTTCATCTCAGGCAAAATCTGTTCCACCGACGAGTGGCTCCAAGTGGGGCCATTGAATCTCAATGTGAACATGGGTTTATCGTTTCTGCTTATAAGGTCCTCCATACGAATTGGCTTTCACATGTGCTATGTCCATCTCCCCATATCGTTAGTGTTTCCATGGAGTCAGTCACTAGTAATCTATTTCAATTTCAGCCGACACCACGAGCGAAGCAATTATATTAGCTTATGAATTTCTAAGTGCAGATTTCTTAGATCCCACACAACCCGAAGACTCTCGGAAAGGTGCATCTATTGCCAGTGGGTACTAAAACTTTCCCCATCCACCCAACCTGTTCACATCTCCAAATTGGAGAAGAAAATGAAAAATGAAAAATAATGAAACTTATTTGATTTTGATCCAAGACTTAAAATATATCAACGTATCAGTGTATATTATATTATATCTATACTTGTCGGTGCCAAATATTAGGATTTAGGAGGAAAAAACTATGATTTGGTCAATGAAATAGCCGGGTTTTATTTTATTTTTTTTGTTAATACCTATGAAATAGCCAGTTGATAACACAAGAGCTATCATTAATGAATTTGAGCGTAATGAACTAAAAAAGGAAATATGGACGAAAATAAGCAAGATGAGGAAAGGAACAGGAGAGAAACGATCAATCAAGGAAAAAAAACATGAGAGAAACGATCAATCAAGGAAAAAAAACATGAGAGAAACGATCAATCAAGGAAAAAAAACATGAGAGAAATGGGTTAACAGAGAATACACACAGGAACAATATCAGAATAGATATGGATGAGAGAGGTTAATCAATGTAACGATCACAACTTATTATTTATGTATTATTTGCAAATACAGTAATATGAAACTATTCAGTATTAGTTGTGCATCATTTTGGGATACAATCAATATAATCTTTGGTAGAAATAAATACAACAAATTTTAATCGCAACATTTGCATCCTTTTGGGCGTCAGAGCGCAGTTGGCCAAGTAGATAAAACAAATACCTGTACATAAACTTTGAACTTTGAAGCATATACCAATCACTGATCATGTTCCCACAGGAGTGCTCCATGGTATTTCTCTTCTTCATACAAGAAACCAGCAACCAGCTTTCCAGTGATCAAAATATCACTGAAACTTAAATATTTTTCCATTCAAAACAGATGAATTTGGATCAAATGGGCTTGATTTATCCATCAGTATCAAGATATTAAACCAAAGCAAGGATCTCCACTATTAAGTTTCCTATTTGTTTTGCCCTCATAAAAAATGCTTCTCAGTCTGCAGGACTGTTCTAGTATCAGTTTGTAGGTAGATGGGTGTTCCCATGCTACAAGCGAGAATTGGTCACCATAGTCTTCCATTTTTTCAACAAGTAACTGCCATATCAATGCTCCTGCTCCAGCTTGCCTCCTCTTTGCTGACTCGTATATTTTATCATACACTATCTTCAATAAAAAGTCCCTATCATATGTACCTTGTTCCTTGGCATGCAAAGAAGATCCAACCTCTGTAAAAAGAACTGGCTTCTTCAGCACATATTCACTATCATTCACATGGTAATCCACCCACTTTGAAAGATAATTTGCTTTCTCTTTCAAATCAGCATCTGGAATCCTGCAAGAGATGCACAACTGTGAGATATCACTGAAATCAGAGCCGAGGAAAGAAGGAGAAAAATGAGCATTTGCTAAAGATACATGACAAAAATATGAAACTAAGGTCCAGAGTTCTCAATGGAACCCTATGTTACTACCAACTTGCTGGTCCTGACTGCTTCACTGATGTCTCTAGAGAGAGATACAATCCCAAAACCATCCACTACACACCTCTAGGTCTAGGGATCAATATGTTAACCTGTTCCTCTGATCCTTGACATCAATTCCCTTATCTAACATTTAGCCCTACTTGAAGGTAAAGATCCTTTGGTTACTCTGACATTTGGTCTAAACCCCATTAAAAATACCTCTCTCAATAAAAAAGATAAGATCAACAAGTTGGTTGTACAACCCTGTGGTTGGGTTAATTGCAGACATAGACCTCAGTTTCAAACTACAAAATAAGCAATTTTTGCTGACCAGCTATCTGGGTAAGCATGAACCGATGCGAAATCAATATTCTCAATTGCTGAGTTCTGTATAAAATCTGATCCAAATGAGGATGCCCAATCCCCAGGATTTGCTCCAGATCTTTCAGTTGTTTCTGGTCCATAGAAGCCTTCTAATCCAACAGTCAGAAGATGTTTCTGGTCCAAGCTCTTGATAAATGCAGCCATATCTATAATCCAACTCTGTTCCCCAGAGAAAATGCATGAGAAACAGAAACAGACAAAAATAAATAAAGTAGATCTATTATCTTACAATGCCTGATATGCATTAGAGACCAGAACCAAAGAAAGATGAAAAATGATGAAATGTCAGATATATATTTAGGTATAAAGAGGAAGTTCACTGAAGGGCATGCTAGTGCATGTGGATTATAATGCATGGACAAAATCAACCATTTCCACAACATAGGACAATCATCCACATCAGATGGCTTATCTTCTTCATTTTCTCAGTGAACAGAAATTATATGACAAACAGTAGGAACTAGGAAATAGATTATTAGATTGCATGGTTATATTTGTCCAAGTGGACTGATCCAACATAGATCTTCCATGGACAAGGTAATATATCTTAACTATCAAAAATATTTTGGTATTTCCTACATGAATATGCCATGTGTACACAACGAGAACCCTAAGATATAGGCAACATAACTTCTCACCTGGAGAACAGGAGCAGATGAACTAGATGTGCAGCGAGGCTCATTTATAAGTTCCCATGCAAATATGGCTGGCTCCTCAGAATATCTGACTCCACTTAAGGAGTTCTTTCTTGTAACAATAGCCTGCAATGTTTCAATCAAAAACATGTATAATGGGAGTTGGTACCTTATCAAGTTTCTTTATTGAGCTACTCCAATACCTGATAAAGTTACTAAAAGTTTGATTTGATGGATATGATTGTTTATATAGTGGGATTAAGAGATGATTTTAGTGTTCCTCACAATTTCCTTGTAGTTTTCTTGAATTTTTACCTCATTTAACTTGCTACTTTGAAATATAACAAGTACACAAATAGGATGAACATGTTCCTTAGCAATCATGATCTACATAAAGCCATAGATGTTATGCCAGAGCACATTCAGTGGAATAGAGATCAACAGTTTTATGATTCTTATGACTCTCACTTCAGACAACTCCAATCTGCTAATACTTGCCATGCAATAAAGTGAACTACTCAATCATTTGCTGAACCATTGAGAAGACGGTGCAGAATTGGATGTCTAGGATTATTAAATTAACATTTCAGCAATAGACCACAAAGAAGGTGCAATTGAATTGTTTGTGCTAATAACAATGCTTCCTTTCCTTCTGGAATGTTTTATCACATCAAAGTAGCAAGCGCAGCATAGAGATCAGCTATGAAGAAGCAGATTATTTTATCTTCTTACATGGACTGAGATCTTTAATGAATTTGGATAACACTGTAGTAGTTGAGGGATCAGAACCCAAGCATATAGTAGAGAAATGTATCCAAATAGGGAACATAGATATTATTGCATACAACAAAAGTTCATGAACTTATGAATATCTCATTTATTGAGTGGTAAGATTAGAGACTGATGAGGTGGATAAATAACTGCAAAATCAAGGATAGGAAGGGCTGTTATGTCAATGCTATTGTACTCTGATTTTGTTTGTTCATTCATCATTTTTTCAGTTTTTGACTCATCCTCTTGGCTAACATCAATATCCATCCCCCTTTCAACAACTTTCCCATTTCCACACTCACGGTTTGTATAAGCAAACCTTACACCAGAATAGTTTACAAGAACAAGATGGAAGACAAAATGGGAGGCTTGAAGTTTTAATTCAAGATAAATTAGATAAATAATTCAATGGTTGAGTATGGGATTAACAGATTCACAGGTCAGCTAAGGCAGTTGGTAGTGGCAAGGTTCAAAGTATCGATACACCCCTGTGTATCAGCAGAGGCATATTGGTACTTAGATATATGCAGTTTTATATTTTTTTTTAGTTTTTGGGAGGTATTTAGGGCTATTTTTTTATTAAAAAAGATAGGGGGTCCTGAAACACCTGTTTTTCAGAACCCCAAAGATACAATACGATATGCCCAATATGGGGTGTATCGTATCAAAATTTTGAACCTTGGGTAGTGGTGGTGGCGGTGGTAGTGGTGATTGTGATGATGATGATGATGATGATGAATAAATCAGTAATGGAAGGTGAACAGACCGACCTTAACATAATCCTTATAGTAGCCCTTTATAGTTGGGTGTGAAAAAAAAGAATCAGTTGAGGATGAAACATTGAATCCAGCTTCTTTGGCCCACTTTACATACTGAGCCTTCCCACCAAAAGCATTTAGATTATTTACTAGGCTAAGAATCAACCTTATCCGATGCTTCCTTGCCTCAACTATTGCAAAATCCAATCCCTGAAATAAAATAATGTCAGTCAATAAATCAATCACGAATAAGGACCATGAGGAAAGATGAAATCAGCTACTAATTACGGGCAAAACATCACACTGAAAAAATGAAAATGAAGGGTTGCAGTTATGCATGAGGAGAGAGTATATTTGAGGGGTAACGAAAATTTTACATTCTATCAGCATTTCAGCATCCAATGCAATGGGTAAAGTAACTTAGAGATAGGAAATAGGCAAAACTATTTCTGTGTATCTATGGTTTCAACTGGAAACAGGAATAAATTTGTTTCTAAAAAGCACATTATTTTGTTTCTAAAGACACAATATTTTGTTTCTAAAGCACATAAACTGGAAACATTCTAAAAAGCACATTTCAGATAAATTTGTTTCTAAAGACACATTATTTTGGGAACTATTTGTAATTGCTTTTTGATTGACCATGAAACAGGAATGATTTAAGGTGTTTTGGGTCAAAAAAATTGCCAATACCTTTGCTGATGGGTTAGAAAATCAAGGGATGAATAGAGTCTCTATGTTTCGGGCTCAATTGTAATTGGTGTTTTAAGTCTTTTGTATTTGCTGAACTTCTGTGGGAGAGCTATGAGAGCATATCTCTCCCTGGTATTATACTTGGTTTTGCTTTCTAATAAAGTGTATACGTTATTGATAAAAAAATGGAATGACTTAAGGGCTCATAACTTAACAATGGATATCGTACTTAACAGGATTTATGTAGCCAACCATTCAATTGGGACAAGGCTTAGATGATGATGAATCAGGAATGATGACCATCACATTCTTAAAATATGGGCAGGGCCATTACCCAATGTTGGTCCCATCTATTCAGGGTCTTTGGGAGGCAAGGACTGGATATAAACCAAACCTTTCAACATTTTCTTGCAAAAACTGGCTGCTCTCAAACTCGAACCAATACTCCTATTTGTAAGACCAAGATTTTACCATTGAACCAGCAGTGGTTCCTCCATTCTCAAAATATGGGTAAAATAAATAAATATTGTAGGCCCAGATGGTGACCCAAAAATGGCCATTACACAATGCTACTCCCTTCTATCTTAGAGTCTTGGGAAGGAAGGGTGAACTGGATGTGGACCTAACCTTTGTACTTTTTGCATGAAGTGGCTACTCTGATTCAAACTTGTCACCCTGAGATTTTACCATTGTACAAAGCACCAGCCCCTGCCTAGAAAGTGACTGTCTCATTTCAGTACTGGCACTCACATTTCCAATGTGATTATTATAACAAAGGAAATGTCTTATGAATGAAGGAAATTAAACTTATAACCCCTGCTATGAAATTTTATTGGAAAAGATTAAGACATGAAACTAATATTTTAGAAAACCAATTTGGATTCATGCCAAGAAGATCAATTGTGAAACCCATGTTAGAAAATTAATAAAAAAGTTCAAGCAACAAAGGAGGATCTCCACTTGGTATTTTATTTATTTGATGAATACAAGAACAGATACTACACTTGATCTTAGCCAAAAGGCCCAGAAAGGTCTACTGATTTAGAAAAGCACATGATAAGTTCTCCAAAAGTCACCTTATAGGTTTTGAGAAAGAAAGAGGCTTCAACTAGGTATGTTTAAACTCAGGAAGGAAAATTTCCAATGACAACAGGTTTACACCAAAAGTCAATTCTTCATCCTTATCTTTTTGCACTAGTTTTTTTTTATCAATATCTTTTTGCACTAGTTATGCTTGAGCTAATTAGAAATTTACAGGAGGAGGTCCCATAGTGTATTTGTTTGCTGATGATATATTATTGACTGAGACTAAAGATGGATTCAACACAAAGCTATGATAGGAAGATGCTTTAGAATGAAAAGGTTTTAATAAAAATAATAGAAACAGTGAAGCTGCAATTAAGGATGATGATCAGGAGATACCCCAAAGTAGTCATTTCTAGACATTGCATTAATCACCATTCATCCATAATGGTGAACTTGAATAGGGATGTTGCTCATAGAATTAATGTAAGGTGGTTGAAATGGAGAGGTATATTTAACATCCTATGCAATTGGTGTACAATAATGAGACTAAAAGGAAAATTTTATAAGATGACTATAATATGTTATATGGACCATCAACAAGCATGTACAAAAAATGAAAATAGTTGAGATGAGAATGCTAAGATGGATGAATGACAAGACTAAAAATCATATAATTAGAAACAAGTGTGTTATAGAGAACTTAGAAGTAGCTCCAATTGGTGACAAAATGATAGAAAATCAGTTAAGATGCTTCAGTCATGTGCATGGATGGCCAATGACTACACTAACAAGGAGCGGTTTGGTGCAAGTAGAAGGCTATAAGAGAGCAAGGGGAAGACCAAAGAAAATGTGAGAATAAGTGATAAGAAATAATGTAGGGACTCGTAATTTGACAGAAAACATGGTTCTTGATAGAACAGAAATGGTAGGACATGATTCATATAATCAACCCCAAATAATTGGGAATAAGGATACACTAAATTGGATTGAATATTTTATGCCAAGACCAAGAGGAGACTACAAGGTACCAAGGTTGGGGGCACTAAGTAGTCTATTGATTCCATATTATCAACATAACAAATAAGGTGTTATAATTTAAATAGGCTCCACAACATTACATAATAACCCCTCCCTGTTAGTTTGTATACTGAAACTCTTAACATGCAAAACCATGTCTAAAATGCAACCATTAACTATTTGAATGACAAGCTTAAGCTGGCTAATTGATAGAGTAAGTTGATCATCTGATTAAAAGCTCAAACTTGGACAACTAAATGAACGTGACTGAATGGTTGGAATCGTTGGATGGAGAATAAGAACTAAGGTTGTCAAATTGGTGAAGCAATTTAATTACATGAACCATAAGTGTTCAAACTCCGAATTATATCTACTCTTACGCTTGTGGAAATCTAGTTTGCCCACTGATAAGCAATAGTTAGCGGGAAAACACAAGAAAAAGAAAAAATAAATGAAATTCCATTTAAAATTCAATAAATTGGAAACTATCTACAATTTACGAAGTAGCTTTTCTGTAATCGGTTTGAATTGAAGCAATTCAATCTCTTTTTGATATTGTAATAGATCGAGCTCAAGCTCGTAAATGTGCTGATCATAATTAGCACAACATGGTGTCTGCTATTTGTCCCAAAAAATAAAGAGCATTACAATTAACAGAAAAAAACCCAGAAGTTTCTCTTAGTTTTTACTATCAAAATTAAATCATATTGTTTGAGAGGTATGAACTAACCCGAAAGACCTTCTCATTGAAGTTCCCAGGTGATATCTGAAGAGAATTATGACCATCTCCATCGTTAAAGGCCCAAGTCCTACAAACAGTCATCCCCATCTCAGCTCCTCTCTTGAGCATCTTGGACACCCTGTGCCTGGAATTACTCCACACACTCTCTTCCATCAACCAGTACGAATTCCACCCGTTGACGTACAGAGTTGATTGTTCGCCATTTTGGTCGATGACAACGAATCGGGTGGAATTGGTGCCTACGAAGCTCATCCTGGGTTGCCATAGAACAGGAAATGTAACTCTGTCGCCGAAATTCATGTAAAGAAGAGCAGCTATAGATAGAAGACCCAAAAAGGGATAAAGTCCCCTCTCTCTCCACATCGGTTCCATCTCTTGCGCAAATTCAGGCAACCATTGCTCCTGGTACCAGGCCTGCCAAAATTCCCTCTTGATTTTGCTTCATGAAGTATTTCTCTCTCTCTCTCTCTCTCTCTCTCTCTCTTTCTCTCGCGCTTCCGTGAGACGTCGCCTTCTGATACCGGTCATGAATCCCTCCAACACCAATCCAACGGTTAAGAAAGAACATCTTACCTGAGGGTACCCTCGTTGAACCGGGAAGACTTGTTATGACTTATGATTATAGTTGACTTTCACCGACTACTTTGTAGGACCTTAATTGAAGTCTATAAACTGAACGATTCTAGCGAAAACCTCCCCTGTATTTTGATCCTAACAAAAACCTCTGATGACGTTTAAAACAATTGCAAAAACCTCCCTTCCGTTAGTTTTGCTGTAATACAGTGACATTGAAATTACAAAAATACCCTAAGACATTATCCTAATGCACAATGTGAAATTCACACACTTGACGCGCCAGCGCCAAACAGAGAGTGGCGACAAGAGCGTTGCATCTTAACTCTGTACCAATAGACGTTAATGTGAACAATGCCGAAGAAAGACTTACAGGTGCTTGTGTTTGGCAAGGTGAGAGTAGTTTAGATTAGACCTGGCATTTGGGTTGGGTGGATCGGGTTTGGATTGGGTCAAGACACTTTGGGTTGATTTTAGGTCGAGTTGAATTTTGAGTTGGATCGGCAAATGTTAGCCTCTAACTTTAAATATTTTAGTTAGGATTAGACCCACGGGTCAATTTGGATCATTCAAAAAATAACTGAAATTTTAAAAATAAAGAAAAAATATAAAAAAATGCTAAAATTAAAAGAATTAATCTTAAAATTTCAAAAATAAAATAAAAAAAATTGAGTGTTTAATAATTCAAAGAGTAAACAATAAAGAATAAATACTAAATATATAGTAAAGACAAAAGAGTGAAAATTTCTAACAATGTATAGATAATCCAAATTAGACCTAACAATCAGGTTAGCGGGTTGACCCATGACCCAACTCAACTCAACTTAATTTTTATTTGAGTCAGGTCATTCTCAAATTTAAATAACTAAATATGAGACCATAACCCTATTTTTCGGGTTGGATCAACTTTCTCCATGTCTAATTTAGATGGAGAAATAACGAAAAAGGAATTATCATGATTTGGCAAGGCAATATGATTGAAGAAGGTTGTAGCAATACTACAACCGATGCCATAGTCGTGGATTCATTGCTAGATGAAACGTTTGGATTCAGGAATTTCAGCGAATAAGCCTTTTGGTATGAATTATCAACGAATAACCAACCACTTATCCCAAGGCCCTAGATTTTAATTGAAATCGTTATACTGATTCTGGTTGTGTTTGGTATCATTTCTATTCGGGTCATGGCTGAGCTGGTATTAAGAGACACGTGTCTGCCCAATCATCGTCCGGTCACCTCGGCCACGTTAGCACAACCCGGTCAACTCCGAGGTATAAACCGACTCCGCGGCCCCAACCGTGCTACGCTATTACCATGCTTTTTAAAAATGAACTGGTCAGGGGTCTGGTTACCAGTTTGAATGGTCCGACCGTTCGACCCGAACGACCGGCTCGTTCTGATAAAAAATAAAAAAAAATTAAATTGGAAAACGGTCAAAACCGTTCGAACGGTTCAAACGGTTAACCAGCCGGTTCAGCGGTTTGCTGACCAAAATCAACGGTTTTAGGGGAAAAAACGGTTTTGGAGGAAAACAGAACCAGTCAAGTGACCAGTTCCTGGTTTTTCCGATCCGACCGTCCGGTTCGGTCTGGTTTTGAAAACAGTGGCTATTACTGTGGCCCCCCATCTTATCCTCCCAGCCACGTCAGCTGCACGTCATGTGGGTAAGCACAACTACGGATAAGAAGAGGAGGGAGGACAACTCCGTCGGGGAATAGGACTCTATCCCAAGGACCTCGGCAGTTAACCTCATCCCGGCAACCCCAGAAGCCCAGTCTGACCAGGACACGAACCTTTGGCTATAAAGAGGCATTCCCCACTCAAGGTAAGGGATTCCAATTTTCTAGCACCCATACTGTTACTCTGCTAGGACCAGTACCCTTATTGCTCGGTCCGACCATCCACTATCCTCTACTGATTTTAGCGTCAGAGTGCCTACCCAGGGATAACTCCTCGGGCCTCTGACTTCCCTTTCTTGATCACATCTTTTAAAGCGTGGCCTCGTCCTTCCACCTTGGCACCGCCCTATTGGCAAGGATTATCTGACTGCCTTCCTAGGTTTGGGCACCACCTTGGATCGAGCAACATTAGATTGGCACCGTCTGTGGGAAACGCACAAAAAGCCTTTCCCAAAATCTTTCCTTCCTCACCGCGCAATCAAGAAAGTGATCAAGATGCCCAAGAACCAGTTCGAACAATCAACATGCCGATCCCCATCTCGGGAGTCTCAGCATCGCAGCCCTCCACACCAAGAAATCCCGCAGCTTCCAAACGCGGTTGATCCTATGCAGTTCCAAGCAATGCAAGAGAAAGTCAATAAGATCTTCGAGATAATGTAGGCACTAGGATCTACGACACCACCCAGCTAGGTCATCCCCCCTCACGCCCTGATGCGTACAAAGGACAATCCTCGCCCCGAGGACCCCAAAATGCGACAGCCGGACAAGAGGGGAGCGCAGTCCGACCATGAGAAGCAAGATGCAGCAAGGAAGTCCACCTCCACAGCTTGCTCTCGCGAGCCCGACAACCGTAGTAGGACACATCAAACTACGCGGATCCCCGCTAAAGAGAGGCTTGGCAAGCGGACGCCACCTGGTGTGGTCTCCGTTGCTGAGTCCAGCTCAGTGAAAGACCGCTCCGCGTGGCCCAAGAAAGAGAGAGTCGCACGTACCGCAGTTCTGGACAATAGGGACGTCGAGATCTGGGAGCTCTGACAACGCTGAGAGAAGTTGGAGCGCAGCCAAGTCCAGAGAAGCACGACCCTACCTGTAGATCAACCCACACAGCCAACTGCACCAACTTCCAAGGAACCATCGTTCACCCATGAGATTGTGGACAAGGTTCCTCCCACGGGTGGCAGGCACCTCAGCTCGACAAGTACGACAAGAATACTGACCCTGTCGACCACATTAAAGCACTAAAGGCTCAACTGATGTTGCATGGATCCTCTGAGGGCCTAATGTGCAAAGCCCTAGTGGCCACCTTCACAGGTCCAACCCTAACTTGGTATTCCTCTCTACCTCCACATTCCATAGCATCGTGGGAGCAACTGGAAACCCAATTCCGCGCACAGTTCATGGCAAGCCAGAAATACTAGAAGACTTCAACCAGCTTTATGCAAGTATGGCAAAGGAAGATAGAATCTCTCAGAGGCTACTTGGCAAGATTCAATAAAGAAGCACTATAGGTTAGAAACATGAACCTATCTGTGGCCATCACCGCTATTCAGCACGGGCTCCGCCCCTTGCCTTTCAACTTCTCCATCTCCAAGAACCCTCCGCATACCCTAGCCGTGCTGATGAGCCATGCCTAGAAGTACATCAATGCGGAAGAAGCACAAGCACAACTATGGGACGAAGAAGAAAGGCCCGACAAGAAGAGGAGAGACACCAAGGAGAGGAAGTCAGAAAGATCAGATCGGGACCATAAGAGGCAAGATTGCCAGCCTGATCACAGACTGCGGACACTGTCGTCGACCTATCAGAATTTCACGCCGTTGAATACATCGCAGTCTGAAGTTCTGATGCAAATCCACAACCGTAATTACGTTCGGTGGCCCGAAAAGATGAAAACACAAGGCAACAACAGGAACCGCGACAAGTATTGCGAATTCCACAGGGACCACGGCCACAACACAGAGAATTGCTTCGACTTCCGCAACCACATCGAGGACCTGATCAGGCACGGGTACCTCAGTGGATTCGTCGACAAAAACGAGAAGCCAACACAGGAAGAACCGCACACAGAGAATGATCGGCCATCGCCCCGAGTTCCTTCTGCCGGCATGATCCATGTGATATCAGGGGGGATCACCACGGGAGGGGAGAGAAGCTCGGGAAGCAAGAAGTACACGCGGTTGTGCGAGATTGACAACCGAGGAGACAAGAAGAAGCGCAACCAGCCAATCACTTTCACCGACGACGACCTCTGAGGGGTTTAGACCCCACACAACGACACCTTGGTGATCACAGTCGAGGTTGCTAACTTCGAGATGTAGTAGATCCTAGTTGATACAGGTAGCTCCGCCGATGTGCTCTTCAAGGATGCATTCAAGAAGCTCGACATTGAAAAAGAGCGTCTCACCCCCGTCAACACTCCCCTGATGGGCTTCTCCGAGGAGTCCCTCTTGCCTAGTGGAAGGATAACCTTCCCCCTCCTGATCAAAGACGATGACATCACTGTGACTACCATGGTAGACTTTATTGTGGTCTGTTGCCCCTCATCCTACAATGCCATCCTCGGCAGGCCGACCCTTAATGCTCTGTAGTCTACTGTCTCCACATTCCACCTCGCCATGAAATTCCCCGCTGAATACAGCATAGGGGTAGCACATGGAGACCAAAGGACTGCGCGGTAGTGCTACTTACTCTCTTGCCGAGGATGGCACCCGGCCGTGGAAACACTAATGGCTGAAGTCTATGATTTGTGGGACAAGGTGAAGATGCAGCGCGGCCAACCTGTTGAAGACCTCATCCAGGTGCCGCTCAATGAAGAAGACCCCGAGAGGACGGTCTAGGTCGGCTCTCTCCTAGATGATTGTCTCTGGGAGGAACTTGTGTAGCTGTAAAGGGATCACGCTGACGTGTTCGCTTGGTCGGCAGAGGATATGTCGGGGATTGACCCCAAAGTCATCACACACCGCCTGAACGCCGACCCTCGCTACCGACCTATCAAGTAGAAGAAGAGAAGCTTCGCTATAAAGTGGTGGAAAATGATTGCTGACGAGGTGCAGAAGTTGCTCAACACCGGCTTCATTTGGGAAGTCAAATATCCCAACTGGTTGGCCAACGTGGTGATGGTGAAGAAGGCCAATGGGAAGTGGAGGATATGCATCGACTTCACCAACCTAAACAAAGCCTGCCCCAAAGACAGTTTTCCTCTGCCGAGGATCAACCAGGTCGTCAATGC